TAAAATAGGGAGATGCACCAAGGATGGTAAAATAGGGAGATGCACCAAGGATGGTAAAATAGGATATACTAAGGATGATAAAAGCCAAGTTTCTTGCTATCAGAGAAACTTTTCTTGGTGAATAGATATATGTCTAACTGTGTAATGAAGAATGAAATAGTTATATAGTTTTGAACTACCTTTCTACAGAATAAGTAGAAGGGAAAAGAGTAATTTTACAGTGTGGAAACTGGCAGATACCACTTTAATGTGCTGACCAGATGATGAAGTGAACTTCGTTGGTAATGAGATCAATTGAAATCATTTACCACCTGACAGGATAGCATGAGAATGGAGCAGCATTTCTGTGATACTCCTGCCAAAGGTGCAGGATCTGAATCTAATCATGAGGAAGCATCAGGCATACTCTAATGAGGGGCAGTCTACAAAGGAACTGCCTCATATTCTTCAAGAATCAAGATTATGAAAGTCAAGGAAAGAATGAGGAACTATTCCAGATTAAAGGGAAGAAAAGAGATGTAAGAAGCTGAGGATAATCTTTGTAGGGAGAGTTTGGGCCAAGTCAGCAACTCCTCAAATGGTTCAAAAAAAGTTCTTTGGGATGTATATTCATGATTATTTCAAAATTAAAAAAAAGAAAAAGAGGCTGGATGCAGTGGCTCACACCTGTAATTCTAGCACCCTGGGAGGCCAAGATGGGTGGATTCCTTGAGCTCAAGAGTTCAAGATCAACCTCAGCAAAAGCGAGACCCCCGTCTCTACTAAAAATAGAAAAACTGAGGCAAGAGGCTCGCTTGAGCCCAAGAGTTGGAGGTTGCTGTGAGCTATGATGCCATGGCACTCAACCCAGGGCAGAGTGCGTCTGTCTCAAAAAAAAAAAGAGAAAATCAAAGGGGAAATATCTGCTAGGAAAATGAACAAAAATACGGGTAGACAATTCATTTAAAAAGAAATTAAACTGGCCCTTAAAGCATAAAAAAGATATTTAACATCAGTCATAACTGGAGAAATGTAAATTAAACTGCACTGAAATGTTACTTCTCATCTATCTTGAGAAGTCTAGGGCTGAGTAAAGAGACTGGCAAACCTTCTCCCCCTAAAACAACTATAAATGCTACTTTATAAACAAAGGGAACCAGGAGTCCTTGACGATTTCAGAGGTGGAGCAGGTAAAGGACAAGCTGAGCCCAGAACATCTAGTTGTGCCAGAAAATAAGGAAGTGACTCAAAGAATGAGGGGGACATGTCAAATGGACATAGAAGCCCCCTTGAAGGGGCCTCCAGTGACCAAAACTCAAGACATTTTAAGCAATAAAATAAATAATGATAGGAAGAGATTATAACCCATAGAATAAAAATAGTCATGAATAAATAAATGGAGAAGGAAAGGCATTTCCTTGGAGTAAAATGCTATTGTAACATACATGGATAGATGGATGTGGTTAGAAAAGTCAGCATTTGGCAGCCACTGTAGTAATAATGGTTCCAGGCAGGAATCTTCAGTGTTTGGTAAAGCCAGTGGGCAGAATTATGACAGGAATCTGGGTATTTCATAGGCTGCAAGTATCTCCTCACAAGGTTCTTAACAATGAAAAATGATTGCACAGTTAGCTGGCAAACATGATCTTGAACAAGAAATCTAACACATCAGTATTAGACTTGATGTGCATGGCAGGGCTAGACACTGCCATGTGCCTGCCTTCTGATAATCGTGCACGCAGAAGACAGTGTCACGTGTGCGGTTTCCTGTCCAAAATGTATAACCTGAATCTCGGCACAAAGAAACATCAGACAAACCCAAATTGAGAGACATTCTGCAAAATCCTGGCCTGGACTTTTTATAACACTAAACCTCTTGAAAGAGAAAAAAGATACAGTGAAAGAAACTAAGAGGCATGATGTCTAAATACAAAATATGATCCTGGATTGAAGCCTAGATCAGAAAATAGTTTTCTTTTGCTGTAAAGGATAATGGTGGGGCAATTAATGAAATTTGAAGATGATCTGTAGATTAGGTAATGGTCCTGTATCAGTGTTGAGTTTCCAGTTTTCATAATTGTGTTACGGTTATGAAAGAGTACACCTATGTTTGAGGAAATACACACTGAAGTATTTGGTAGTAGAGGTGCATTGTAGCTACAACATATATTTACGTATACAGACACTGATAAAGCAAATGTAAAATATTAACATTTTAGAAGACAAGGGTACAAGATATGTAGAAATTATTTGTACTATTATTTAAGTCTCTTGCAGCCTGAAATTATTTTAAAGTGAAGTATGTCTTAATCCCATGGTATACTCAGTGAAATGTAAGTAGTAGTTCATGCAATGTAGAGTATAAATACTATACTGTTTGGAACCAGTTATGTCTTATATGTGTATCTTACATCTAGTTTTGTAAACTTGAGTGAGGTGACACACATAGTGATGAAGTAATGTCTGATCCTCAGTTGTCTCACTCAGGTGAATAGTAGCACATACATTGTAGTGTATGGAAAGTGTGAGATCAAACATTTAAAACCTAGCAGATGTCCTGGCACTTAGTAAATGCTTGGTAAATAAATGGTACTTGTTAAAATAATGTATTCATATAAAAGTGATATTTATAAAAGGACAAATTTAAGTCAGAGAAGCTGGAGTTCACTGCTTTGTTATCTTACATATCATGGTGACATTCTAAAAGAGGAAGGACTGCACTTAGGGGAAGTTTGGTGGTTAATGGCTTTTGATAAGCTACACTGTCTTTAAGGCCAGCAATAAGTGAATAAGAGTTATATGTAGTTTCCTTATCTTGAACAACCCTATATATATAAGGTTATAGAGCTATTCTGAGGTTGAATGGTTTAAAAGGGTATATTTAAGTCTTAAATGTGCTTCAAGCAAGAACTATAATTTTCACATAGATCTTCAAATAAGACAACTAACTCGTAGAAGATTTTAAGAATAAACATCTAGCTGGGTGTGGTGGTGTGCACCTGTAGTCCCAGCTACTTAGGAGGCTAAGCCAGGAGGATTGCTTGAGCCCAGGAATTAGAGGCTTTAGTGAGCTATGATGATGCCACTGCACTCTAGCCTGGGCAAGACAGTGAGACTCTGTCTCAAATAAAAATAAAAAAAGAATAAACTTATGTATCTATTTGCTTTTTTTGCCAGGAAAAGGAACCTCTCCGTGTAATACCACTTAAAGAGGTTCATAAAGTCCAGGAATGTAAGCAAAGGTAAGCATCGGCTCTGACTTGGTGTCTGCACAGCTTACTGATACAGAATAGTGCCTTATTTGATTAATGTGCTTTTATATTTTTCTATATTCTAGGATTAATTTAAATATAGATATTGTGGGGATCACACCTGTAATTTATCCTAGTAGGGTACATGTGAATTTGTCTAAAGGTTGAATATAAATGTCTTAACACAACAATTATGAGAAAGACATGATGGCTATGTTAGCCAGTTGGATGAGAGTTTTCCAAACTGCATATGGAAGCAACACACTGTATCCTATGATAGAATTAATGTACACAATTATGATCTAATAAAAAAAATTTTAAAAAAATGAATAAATATAGTTGTGATATGCTAGAATTTTCAAAATTCTCAAAGTATTAAAATTTTTGTGTATTTCAAAACTGAAAGTTAGGAAACAAACATTTTATGTATTTGAAAATTAAAAATGCAAAAACAACTTACTAGTGGAAAGAAAAAATTAATATGAACCACTTATCAGATTTGACACATGGATATATTAATTTTAGTATTTTAAAAGCGCTGGAGAAAAGAGCTTTACAAGAAAACATGTTAGCTGTGTCAGTGTCTCTTTGAGAAAATTTTTTCACACTTAAAAATTTTCAACTTTAAAGTTGCTTTGTGAACTTTTTTTTAAAAGTATAACTACATAAAATATGTGAAATTTAATGCAAAAACAAGGGAAACGGTGATAATTTGATTTTAAGACATTGTTTTACCGCTTACATTTATTTATTAACATATACGTGGTGCTGGGTAAAAAAGTAAAAGAAAAACTATCAAACTGCTATTTAAATACAATTGGATAATTTTTTTTTTTTTTAATAATAGTGACATAATGATGAGGGACAACCTTTTTGAAATTGTAACAACGTCTCGAACTTTCTATGTGCAGGTAAGATACTTATTTAAAGAGGGTAGCTCCCTTTAACAAGAAATTACTAATTTTAAAAGTGAAATAAACAAGCTTATTGCTTTTGAGGTTTCAAAAAATGGGACAATTGTAATTTACCAGCTTGGCAAAAGGATGTTGTATATATAGAGTTCTTGGTAGGTTATATGTTCAGGAAATGGGAGTAATCTTTGTTATGAATTAGTGAAATAAAACTAGGTCAGGAAATGGGTGTATTCTTTGTTATAAATTAGTGAAATAGAACTAAGTAGTATTTGGAGGAAGGGAAATGCTGTTTTAACTTAGAAGTTAAGTGTTTGCCTTCACATTGAGTTATTTTTGTACGTAGTTTAGAATTTTTTATTTTTTTATTCTATCTTTTTTTTGGTAATCTTACAAAAAGGGAAGGTTCATGATAATAAATATAATAATTCACAATCAGTAAATAGATCTATATAATTTCATTAATGGTCGGCATCCTGTATTTATGTACTTTTTGCTTACTACACTGAATTAATTAAATAGAAAACTTTTAAAAGATTTTTTTGTTTTGTTAAAGTTACATATGCTTGTTACAGAAAATTTGGAAAATATAGAAAAATATTAAAGGTGATTTGTAAAACCTTTACAAACCTTTGTTTGTAAAACAATCTCACATTAGACTTTTTCTTTTGGTTTTCTGAAGGCGTATCTTCTGATAACAAGTGGGGACATACTACATTTAGTGCTAACATATTATTTATTTCATAAATATTGTGGTCATTTTTCCTCACGTTTTAAAAATTGTCTGAAAACCTTTTAGATTGGCACCATTCTGTTTGTACGGATGTTTCATAAGTAAACTATTTCTCTATTACTATGTTACTAAACACATTTAATTTGCATAGCTTTCATACATTTACTATGATAAATAATATGGTGATGAACTTCTTACAAATGTGTAAATTTGCCTGATTTTCTTATTTCTTGGGATAAGAGTCTAGATCAAGATTAACAATCAGAGCATGAACCTTTTTGTTTTGTCCAGTTGATTTCTAGTTAGTAGTAAACGTCAGTATACTGTCTTTGCCTGCTTTGAGGTTTTCCTCTTAAAGTCTTTGTTAATATCATTGGTTCATAAACATGCTGTATCTTTAAAATTTTGTATTCCTAGATTCTGGAATCTAGAAGTAAGAGATTCTAGCTTCTAGAATTCTAAAATATAAATAAGGGACTATTTCTGTACATTTTTCAGGGTCTTGTTTAATTGGATTATTTCATAGTAAAGTTGTAATTACATTGAAAGCCAGGCCCTATTGAGGAATATGATACTTGGGAATATACCTATCAATAATTTTTGTTGGATTTAGGGTATTTCTAGAAAAATATATGTAAAATTATCTCAAAAAAATTTTTAAATTATACAATTCCGTAAGTATTCTTATAGTAGAACCAGACAACGTAGCAGCAGATGGAGTGAAATATAAGGGTTTTCTTTACTTCCTCTCCTTGTTTTCTGTCTGCAAGTATTCATTATTGGCACTTTTTGATGTGTTTCATCTTAGAACATTAAGTGCCCAACTTATACCTTTGTGTACTAACTTACCCAGCAAAACCTGGTTTTAAAAAGTGATTTCTAAAATGATTTTGTTGGTGATAATAGTCAAATAACCAAAATAAATACATCGAATTTATAGAAATAGAAGGTGATTTTGAAGAAAAACTGACTGAATGAGTCCTTTATTTTCCTTTAGGCTGATAGCCCTGAAGAGATGCACAGTTGGATTAAAGCCGTCTCGGGCGCCATTGTGGCACAGCGGGGACCGGGCCGGTCAGCCTCTTCTGTAGGTTTCCTGCTCTCTGGGGTGATAGTCCCTTGAGTCCTCCCACCCTGTTGAGTTGTTTTCCTTCCTCTCCCCTAATCCATCTGGTTTCTTTCTTTATTGAGATTTATTTGCATGTTTACTTTTATACCAATTGGACTTGCAAAAAAAATGCATTTCTAATTTAATGCTTCCTCGTAGTGTTATGTATACATAACTTTCTGTGCATTGTATTGTGTTAAATGCACAAACAAGGCAACTGAAGAGTAAACATTTCCTTGCTTTGTTTTGGGAATTGTTCCTTGTTGGTAGGTATAGATTTGGCATAATTTGACATACACATGGTATGTGGCCTACTCACATCTTTAACTGTAGTAGGACATGGTTTCACAAACATCTCATTTTCTTTTTTGCTTCCTCTAATATCAGTTCAGGTTTTTTAGTGGAACCTACTGTAAGACCGTTGAACAACTGGAACTTTAAGTGCAGTTCAGGACTCCCAGTCAGTATTTTCCATCTCATGCTTTCATTCTCATTTTCCAGCAGGTTGATTTAAGAGCCTGCTTCTGAAAACTACCATAATTCTCCTTGTATAGTATGATAACAAATTTTACTTAGAAATTGTAAGAAAAAATGTATTTTTTTTTATCATATTCAAAGATATTGTAGGAATTAGCTTTGGTTTTAAAAAACTTTGCCACTGGTCTGTTATCTAAAAATATAAATTCTGCAGAGGACTAAAAAATTTTAAGAGTCTTAAAATGTAGTACTGTCTTCTGTAGAAAGTAATCTGATACGTAGCTTGATCCCCTTTATGATTTAGATTCAATATAAATGCTAGATATTTATACTTTTAATATTTTTCCTGGAGTAGTAGTATAATAATATTGCCTTTTATTAATTTCCTTGTAATGATGACTACAGATCAGTAAATAGACACCTTTTTTCTCATTTCTTAAGTCATTCTGCTTACATCATTTTTGGAATATCTAAGAAGTCCCTTTCCTTAAGGTTAATTTTGTAGCCTATATTTTATTGACTTTTCAGCAGTCTACTATGAGACTCTCTGTAAAAACACAATGTCTATTGGGAAGAGGAAAAATTGGAGAAGGGTGTTTGCATTTTGTGCTTTGTGGTGGGGGCAAATCGGACTATCCAGCTGTGACTGTCAGCAGAACTTTCTCTTTTCCTCCCTCTTTCCAGTATAGGTTAACTCTAATCTTAGCTTTGCACTGTGTTCCAGATGCGGCAGGCCAGAAGGCTGTCGAACCCTTGTATACAGAGGTATACATCAAGAGCTGGTGAATGCAGCACGTATGTGGCTCTCACGCAAACGTGCCTTCTTAGTAGAGGGCCCAGACTTACTCACTACTTACAACTGACCTTAGAGAGTTGAGTTAACCAACCTGCCTTTTGCAGTTATCATAACTGATTTTGTCAATACTAACACAAACTATTTCACTATAGTCACTAGGTTGGATATGTATATCTAAAATATATATATAACTTCACTAGTGGAAAGAAACATTAGCTAGCTTCTAAAAAGAAATTACTGAATTGCTGAAAGAGTTTTAGCATCTATATTATATATTTTGAGATTTTTAAAAATATTACAACACTTGAAATGTACCTTTGTTCTAATAATATACACAAATTCATGCATGCATACGCACCAGATAAACTACATTGTGATGGTTTGCATGGCATCTTAAATCTCTGGTGAAATTGAGCCAACTGATGGGACTCGAGCATTTTGGTAATTTGTAGCACTTTGTTTTCAAAGCCACTAGAATCATAAATGACATGCCGTACTAGGAACTATATGGCAATACAGTTAGAGCTATCATATTTAAGGATATTGTTAGATTTGATCCAGTTAGAAGCATGTTGAAATTAACATTCACAGCTAATAGTTATTTCACCAGTTTTTAAAATGACTAAATATGTGCCCTTTGTTACCTTTAGAATCTTAAACCATATGAATTGATGACATATTCTGACTAAATCAATGAAACTAAATAAAAAGTAAAAAGACTGTGCTATTATTGATTGCAAAACCTTTTTGTCAGATTGCCAGCAAATAATGTTTGAAAATATTGATTCCTGCTTATTAAAGAAATCTGGCCTTTCATTATTATTCTGTATTTTCATTTTTTGTCTTTCTAAAATGTGTAGGATAATTCCTAGTGTTGATTGTAAATACACTCTTAAATAAAATGATAAAATGTTTAGGCTCCCTTTTAAACACAATTCAGTTGCAGATGGAACACTGCATTCTAGTTTAGGCTGGCTGAGTCTTCAAAGTGTCATAAGCTGCCAAATTCATCTTTGGTGACAGAACTGATTTCCTAGGTGGTTGTTGGCTGTCATTGCTTCAGTCTCACCCCTAAACATGCATTGCTTTGGGAAAGAACTTGCACATCATGCTGCATGGCTCACGCTTCTGCTTTGTGTGTGTCTGTGTGTGTGTTGTGTTCGTTTTTCAGAGAATCGAGTCTCACGCTGTTACTAACCTTGTCTTTAGTGACTGACCGTGTCTGACCGACACTCCTCTTTACAGGAGCATTCAGAGTCCAGGCACGCTTTCCGTCCTTCCAGCGCAGCCGCCACCTCACATTCCACAGCCACTCGCAGCAACTCTTTGGTCTCAAGCTTTACCATGGAGAAGCGAGGATTTTACGAATCTCTTGCCAAGGTCAAGCCAGGGAACTTCAAGGTCCAGACTGTCTCTCCAAGAGAACCAGCTTCCAAAGTGACTGAACAAGCTCTGCTAAAACCTCAAAGTAAAAATGGCCCTCAGGAAAAAGATGGTGACCCAGTGGACTTGGATGACGCAAGCCTTCCCGTCAGTGACGTGTGAGATAGAAGCTCGGGGAGCCTGTCCCCCTTAGCCATCCTCAGTTTCCTTTCCTGAGGCCTTTAGCCAAAGATGATAAAGGGTGAAATGTTTTTAATGCATATGTTATACTGCCTCTTAGATGTACCCTTTATAAGCTGGTAAACCAAGAATCTAGGGAGTAGCCAAACTAAATATAATTTCTTTTAAAAAAAAAAAAGAAAGGGAAAGTGCTAAGAGTCTCAGTATCATCTGTCTGAAGCTGTATGTGTTCTCATTTGGGTGGTAAAAAAGTGTGTGTGATTTTTTTCTTATTGACTTTGGCAGTTTAACAATATAAGACATGAAAAATGCTTATTGATAATTTTGGTCATTTAAAAATTGCTATGACTTCCTATTAGATGTTTGATGTTTATACATTCTTATTGGTTAATGTTATAAATGAAATGTTGCCAGACCGAATAACTAAACTCATGAACTCTGTGGTGCTTCAAATTTATAATACAATTTGGACTGTTTTGAAATTATAACCATTTTTGATGCCCTGGATTTTGAGGTGAGTGGTAAATTTTGCAGAAATGGTATTATCAGTGGGGGTTGTAGGTCGTACTGGGGTAGAGAAATGGGGAAAATTAGAAGTCAAACAACTATATCTTACACATTTGTCTGAAAAACTTAATCAGGACTTACAGCAGTTAATGCTTTTATTCAGTGAAAATTATTTGGTAGAAAACTTTTGGGAGATCTGATTTTCTTATCAATGTTTTGTAAATAGTTCTTATTTCTATATTTAGATCAGTGAAAGACCTCAAGTTTATATGTAAAGACATAACTGCCCTTAGTCATGAAATTCTTGTGGCCTCTACTTGTTGTCACTAATAACCTATATTCAAGTGCCTGTGTTTTTTCATCTTGTTTAGCAATGTTTTGAGATTAATGTGCTTAAAAGTTCTACGTGATTGGTTTTAAACATTGGGATAAAATTAATTTTCATTAGCATAGTTCAGTGTGTTGATAAATCAGATAGCATTTTCTGTTAGAAATACCAGAATGCTGGGGGAATTATGTTACCTGTGCAATATATATCCTTTAAAAACAAATTTGAGTATACATTTAGTCCTGGGGTTATCACAAATATAAGCACCTCTTTAAAGAATCCTTAGTTTCAGGTGTTGAATTATAGACCAGTTTCAGCAAGTACCATTTTTTTCAGTCTTAAACGTTTGCTTTAAGAAAATAGTCTTGAATTTCACATGCTGCTATTTTTATGATATTTTGCCATTTTACAATACTGTTTTGTTTTGATTTCATACATATCACTGTTTGTCCTGTTCATTTTCTAAGATGACTTCTTATCTGAGACAGAGAGAAATTTCCTACTATGGTGGTGTGACCCAGAAGTTAAAGAGGTATTGTACTAGAACTACATAGTATCTGTTTAAAAATCCATATGCATAAAGAGTGCACCACTCAGTTTTTTATTCATAAGCTAATATTTTTAAAAGGTATATTTAGATTTTTTTCTCTTTTGCAGCTATATTTTAAAATGATAGAATGAAAAAGTTTTAAGTAGTTATCACTTTTTCTGCTGATATATCCATCATAATGGTTTTTTTGAAAGTTCCCTTTTCATGAACACTCCTAAGAAATCTTTGCAATATTCACAAGCCTGAGACTGTTTTCTTTGGTACAGCTTCTGCCTTGTGTGTTTATTTTAGCATATTTTGGTATTGGCAATTTGATATATTTCTTGGTGGCAAAATATTAGCTCTATTTTGGGACTTTTTATAGAACTACCTTTATTCTAGTAGGAAATATTCTTGTGATTGTCAGGGTCTTCTTATATTTATCTCAGTTCCTTTATAAGTCTATGGAAATTATTTAATTATTTTAAAACTTACACTTCTGTAAATATGTCACATCTGAGTTGTCAAAAAATTACTTTAAATACCTTAATTTTTGCTGCATTTTTTCTGTATATATAACTTGTCTTCTTTTGGAATGGGGAATCTGTGTGCCTCCCAATGTTTACTGTTATCTTTTTATGTCACACTGGTGGAACACTGTAATGACTTGAGAATAAACTGCTCAGAATTTATTCTAATGTATTTTTCATTTTGTCTAGTCCAGCTCTGATGTGAACAAGTAAATAAAACTAGTACGGAAAGTGGTTAATTGCCTGGAATTTACATATTTAAGGACAAAGTAATAATTTGGTAATCTTTGAAAGAATAAGAAACTTCAGATCTGTGAATTCTTAAGGCATAATAGCTTCACGTGAAATTGTACAAGGAAAGTTTTTTTTTTTTTTAAGAAAATACTTGCCTATTTTGCTTAATTAAAAAACAAGTTCTCAAAAGCAAAATTATGTTGGCATCAGAGCATATTTCAAATCACCTGGGCTGCTTACAGTGTTTGGTTATTGTTTAGACGAGGCATGATATAAGGCTGAATGTGGAGGGCCTTTTGATCCCCAGTTGGGCATTGAGATGTACTCTTAAAAACTCCATGTCCAGTGTTAGAGGCTGCTTCTCACAAATTTTCCCTGTTGATGATAAATACCCTGTGTCTGTCGCGGTAACCACTATATCCAGAGCCTAGCACAGTGCATCATGCATAGATAAAACTCAAACTCTTCTTGAATGAGTGAGGACAGGGTATAAATATAGAATGTACAAACTTCACACATTATAGAAAAGTGTATCCCTGTTTACTTTAGAATATAAAGCTTACTTTTGAAATGTGGAATTTCTTTTCTACAGAGCAACCTTCAGTCATTCTAGATGTCGTCTTTTGCTGCTTATATCTGGCTCATGGTCAAATCCTACTGCTTTTCCCTTGTGTGTTGGTATTAGGCCCTCTGAGATGCAGCCTAGAATGCCATTGAGTGTCTCCTCTCACCTTTTCATGTCCTGTTGGGGCTCTTCTGGATCATCTTACTCCTGTCATTGCTCAGGCTCAGCATCAAAGTGGAATCTTAAAGATCAGATAGGCCAAACCCCTGCCATCAGCCCTAGCTGAAAGAAATGAAGGGCCCCCCCCAGAAGGAAGGGAGGAAGTGAACAACAAAGCTGGCATTATTGGCTTCTCACTGTGTTTGAGAAAGTCATCTTTACCCTGGAGTAACTCAGCCTATTGTCCTTGGAGAGTTCCTCCACCTCTCTCGCAAACAGAAGTCATTTGGTGTTCTACTTCTTTCCTCTCGCCTCCCTTTCTACTAAGGCCCCTTGTTCTCTGAAATGCTTCTTCATCTTAGGCCTTCAGGTCTCTATTGTGTCAAATGACTTGTGAAAATCTAGTTCTGGAACAGCAGCCTAACTACGATACTCGGTATGTGTGTTCTGATTTGCTGCTGCTACATTGGAACATATTTGCCCTAGAATGCAAGGACCTTGAGGTTTGGGTCCCTGTGTTATACTTGTTAGAAACCTGTTTTCTGTATTTCTACTACACCATAGATATTTTATGTTCAATACCTGTACTTGTGGCATGTTCAACACTTAAAGAATACGTGGGCTCAGCGCCTGTGGCTCAAGTGGCTAAGGCGCCAGCCACATACACCTAAGGTGGCAGGTTTGAATCCAGCCTGGACCCACCAAACAACAATGACTGCTACAACCAAAAAATAGCCAGGCGTTGTGGTGGGTGCCTGTGGTCCCAGCTACTTGGGAGGCGGAGGCAGGAAACTCGCTTGAGCCCAGGAGTTGGAGGTTGCTGTGAGCAGTGAAGCCACAGCACTCTACCCAGGGGGATAGCTTGAGGCTCTGTCTCAAAAAAAAAAAAAAAAAAAAAGAATACATGTATTATTGGTTTTAAAGTTCTTGGGAAGAACTTTATTTCCAAGGACTTATCTGGTTTAGCAAATAAAGTTTTAGTTTCTTTTTTTTTTTTTATTAAATGATAGCTATGTACATTAATGCAATCATAGGGTACAGTGTGGTATTTTCATATACAATTTGAAATATTTTCATCAAACTGGTTAACATAGCCTTCATGTCATTTTCTTAGTTATTGTGTTAAGACGATCTTAGAAAACTTTTTAGTTTCTTATCATATCCTTCCTGTGGGTTTATTTTTCTGAGAAGTTGAGATTATCAACAGTGCTATTGCCTGTATCACTCATGATTTCTTGTTCTCACTAGCCCTGGGCAGTCATAACCAGGATAACAATCTGAATCACATTTGTCTGGGAGGCTCCCTCCTTGGAAGTGACTGATGTTCCAACTTTTGGTCCTCTCCTTCCTGGTTGGCTTTGGATATTTCATTATTACTGTCCTGTTTGCTGTGGTTTTGTTGATGCTTCTCATGTTCCTCTAAGTGGTTGCACTTTGAAAAAGAGCTACATTTTCAAATTAGTGATTTGACTATGAAAATTAGACTAACAATACACAGTTAAGGCAAAAACACTGCCTTTCATTAGAAGTTTCTTTCAGCCTTAGTGTCTTGTTGGTCTTATTCAATGGCTGTCTTAAACTGAGAGTCCTGGGTCCTCGATTCAACTCCATCTCCGCCATATCTGACTTAGGCAAGTGTCTCTGTGTTTTGGAACTTCACTTTCTATATTATATAAAATGACAATCAGATAAAAGATCTCTCTCTTTCTTGGTAATTTTCATTAACTGATACAAATTAATTTTTTTACCTTTAAAAGTACTTTAAATGTTTTATCTTAAACCCAAAATAGGCAGGAAAAGTTCTAGAATTTTTGCTTTAACAGATGATCCCTTCCTCAGCTTTTCTAGCTGCAGGACAGGAATTTTCTGGAAGTGGTACTTGTGCCTTTATTCAAAGTTCTGTTAATAGTTGATAAGGCAAGAAATATTTGCATGAAAAATGTATGTCTTTGCATTTATACATTAATACCTGATTTGGTATGACAGGTTACTATCTGATCTTTGTGTTTGGAAGGGTTTGTTAGTCCATGCAGGATTTGTGTATGCTGTCGCATTTTAAATGATTTATGAAAATTGTTTTTTCAAACATCAAGTAAGATATATATTGAAAATACTGCTGAGCTGAGGTTAGCATTTAGAATTTTGATTGAAATCCTAATTATCTTTTGATCTGTTTAAGTGTGCCTTACTATGTTAGATTCATGTGATAACAGCGCCACCTCCTGGTTATGTTATTGCTAAATTCAAAATGAAGTAACGTCGAGGCTATTTTTCACTTTATCTCACCCATCGTAGAAAATTAGAGAAGATATGTGATTGCCTGTGGTAGTTTGAAATCAATATAAAACCTAACCCAACAGTTACAAATGGCTTTCTAAAATTAAGCTTTTTATTTGGAGATAATTGTAGATTCACATGGAGTTGTAAGAAATAATA